GCTTCTCCAGATTGAGAAGTCTCAGCTGCGATGGCTTGGGCATGTGTTGCGAATGCCTCCAGAAAGGAAGACTAAGCAACTCTTCCTCGCACATCCGACCGGCAAAAGGCCCAGGGGACGGCCAAGATTAACCTGGTGCAAACATATGGGAGGAGTCTGTTTTAGACTGCATTTGTCTTCTGCCGAAGCTCAGACTCTGGCACAGGATCGGGAACGTGGGAAGCACTGCCTGACATGTCTGCCTAAGTGACCTGAAAGGAAAGGCGGCCATGGAAGATAGCAGAAAAAGTACAAATGGAATACACTGAAAAAGGAATTAAGATCAACCTTCTCTCTAAGGAAATAAAGAAACTCGTTCTTTGGCAACACTTAGGCATGTAATACAGCCAAACAATCTTGTCCGTAATGTACCCCACGGCAGCACGTCATGTAAATGAAAAATTTTTTCTGGTGAGGATTTGCTTTGGTATTTTGGTGCAGTGGCGAAACCATCGCAACTTCGTTTCTCAGATTCAGATTTATTATCTGCAACAAGTAAATAGCCTACGTTTCAGCGAATCTTGTAAGCTTCCTTCGGTTTGGTAAAAAGCAGCTCACAGTCGCAGAAATCCTGGATTGCCAAACTGCGATGCTCGTCGGAGATCATCACACAAGCGATCATTCGAAGAAACCTCATTAATGTCACTTGTATCCAGGAATGCACTCATCGTTAAACATTCAGCACTTCTGACTGCGAGCGAAATTAAAGGCATACTCAGACATGGAGAGATCGCATCGCACCATCATCAATCAAAAACGTCCTCTTATCGAAATATCCATAGGGCACCGGATTTAACTGAAAGACGATGTGAAATATGGAAATATGTAATACAAGTGGACGAGACTGAGACGAGAAATATGACCTTGGCCATAGCGAAGAAATCATATAAAGCAAATTAAAGGTATCTCTTCAACCAGTCGGATATCATTTATCTGGCCAGCAATGCTTTTCAGGCCTTACCGTCTCAAGTGACCACACAAAAACACCTGGCGAATGCATTACTAAGCGTTGTTTGTAGCCAGTGCCTGTATCCCCAGAAATTTCATTTCACTTCCTCAAATGGAGTCCCATGCACATTCCGTAGTGCACAGTTCTAATTTCACACCAGCCTCTTCTCGGACATTTCCACAATAGGTGATCGTTTATGATTTTCCATGTATTGCAACTGTCACTGCTGAGAAAACACTATTCTAGCAAAGCAACAAAACCAAATAGCTAACATCTACAGTTGATATTACTGAAGACTGTCTGAAAAAGCTCGTCAAAGTGGAACTTTCTTTCCACCTGTTAGAACCTACTTTTTAAAAAAAATTTAAAACGTTTAAATCCTTTCAACGATGCCTGCATCAAATCCGCCATTTCTGCAAATCACATGTTGCGCTACATCGCAACATTGGTGTTCTGAAGGTGAAAACGAAAAAATCGAAGCAAACTAGTCAGAAAGTTATATCAAGACTCTTGAAGATACCTCACTACAGCGGGAAAAATTGCAGCAGAAACTTTGATAAAGTTAAGCCACTGCAGTGACGGCTTTTTCAGGAAGTCAGTCATAATCGATCACGCAACCGAAAAAAAACCATCAGAGCATATGGCGAAGTTAGTCAAAGTTTTTAACGCAAGATTAGCTCGTCTCCAGAAATGCCTGGTGGGAAAGTGAAGTTTGGAGTTCGGATTAGCTGACAGTGAAGAACTGGCCTACATCATGCGCAACCGATGGAGCCAACGACGCTCACGACCGCTACTTTTGATCTATGGCAAACCATGTGGTAGCTTACCACCGAGACCAAACGGGAGATTCGAAGAGCTACAGTATCAAAAAAAATCATGGATGACAAAAGGGTATCATGAAAAGAGGTCAGGTACGATGAACGCAGAATGGTGGAGCATATGACCTTATGCAATTACTTGGATTCCCGAAATACAACAGGATATTGCGGGATTGATAAAGCAAATCTGTTTCGAAGAGGTAGACTAAAATGTATCGCGGTGGAGTCCCAGAAATCACCCCTCCCCCCCCCCACAAGCATGTGTTACCTGAGGAACACCTGCGTCTTAGCAAAAAAATAAGAGGATGCGCACAGTTTAAACGACCTTGTTTCGAAAGGTGTGCAGCTCGTATAACGCAGGTTTGGCAACAAATCGGTGCATCTCGGCACTGTTTAGCTGGCCACCAATAACCCGGCAAGAAACGTTGCTTTTATTATCGGTAGCATCACCATTCAGAGTTCGATCAGGAAGTTCTTCGACTTCGGCGATTGACCGATAAACCCGAATGATGTTTTGCCAAAACGGGCGCCAAAATGTCTTTCAAAGTTCATCGTGCTTCAGTAATGGCGGATGAGGGAGATGATATAAAGAAGTTATGAAAGAAGTTGATACTTTTCTGTTAATCCCCTAAAAGCAGACC